TAATCACTTTGAGGACAATCTTTTTCATTTCTTCATCAGGCGATTGGAATTCGCGTATAAGAATCACCATGACTTCACGGGTATAGTAGTTTGCATATTCAACATCCATAAGCGGGATGATGAAGCCGATAGCCTTGAGGAAGGCGGCCAATCCCTTTCCACGATATTTACGGATACCTTCCCAGAGTGGTTTGAGCACGATGTCGAATGATTCTATACCATAGGGTGCAGCTGCCTCTGCTAGCGCAGACAAAGAAAGCGCAGTGATGGTTCTGACTTTTTGCTGCTCATCCTCAAGTCCATGAGCTATCGCCCCAACCAAACTCTTTAGATGGGGTAATATGGCGCATCCTAGAAGAATGGCGATCTGTTGAATGATCTTTATACCAGTATGCCGAGCTTGCCAAGATTTCTTACTTTTACAAACTGCTTTCAAGAATGGCAAAAGGGCAGGTATACCAAGTGCAGAAGCCACAACAGAAAATGCTCTTGCTGTTGTGTTACGCACATATTCATCAATATGGTCAATATCTGGGCGCATGGTTGCGATCATAGTCGCAAGACCGGCTGCTTTACTAAGGTTGCTAACAATCTCACGACCTTCAACACGAGCATAGTAATCCTCATCGATAAGCAATGGTTGAATAACAACAAGTATTTTGTGAACATATGGTCGGACTAGATCATCGAGCTTATAAAGAACTCTGTCAATGACTTTTACAAGCAAATGCCTCTCCTGATCTTCGAGTGTTGCAGACATGAGCAAAGGGAGAATTTGTTTAAATAGTGCTTCAGCACCAAAGTCCCTTGCCTTGTCTGTGATCTGACGCATGGCTGATTTTCGCATTGCTGGCGTGCCATTTTTTATTTTAAGCAGCAACCGCATAATCTTGCGTTCTTTTAATTCGGCATTGTCCAATTCAGACTCATCCTTTCCATCAAGAAGCTTGCTAAAGTGCTCCATATCGGCCTGCTTGAAAAATGGTAATGTTCCAACGCCTGGGATTTCGGAAGGAACAGCGAACTCCTGGTGATGCTGCTCTTCCTCTTGCATCATGAACCCGTCACTGCCCATCATTGGAGCTGGAGTTGCAGCCAATTTCCTTGCAGGAGTACGAATTGGGGCATATGATGGTGGTGGTTGAACGATGGTATAACCTTTAGATGGTATCAATTCATTGAGCTCTTCATCAGTCAGTGGCTTATTTCGTGAGTCTAACTCTTGAGCCCAACGCTGTGACGATGCAGCAATTGGTGTCATCATTCCTGCAGCTTGTAACTGATCAGGGGCCGGAGTAACCATTCCCATATCTCCAGCTGGAGTTGCTCCATAAAATCCTATTCCTACACCACCACTCATTGCTGATACATCTGGCGTTTCGTCCCAGCGCGATCGCGTTTTAGTTGGCTGTTCAGAATATCCTGTTGCCTTTACGAATGGTGTGGCCTCAAATTGGGACACTACTTGCGGTGTTTCATCCCAGCGATTTCGACGCTTTTGTTTCTGTGCAGCAGCACTTGGGCTATCAACATCAGGCTCAATGCTTGGGTGGACTGGGGTGGCAACATCCCACCGGCGCTTGCGCTTAGGTGGGTCAGCATTTGTAGAATTTTCCTTTATCTCTGCAATCTTTTGTTTAACGCGTTGTTCTTCTCTCTCGAGCTGGTTGCGTTTCATTATCTCTGCATAAGAAATGCTGTCATCACCGCCGTCTTTCTGACCTTCCTGACCACCAAATACATCTTTTCTTCCGGGGGACAGCTGTCGCTTACGCCAGCGCGACTGGTACTCGTTTTCACGCTCAGCGATTGATGAGGCACCTGCTTGCCTTTCTTTGAATGGGTCTTCGTCATCACCTGCTTCAGCCAGTTCGTCCAAAAACTGCTTAGGAGCAGTATACGAGAACCTATTTTTTTCTGGAACATTATAACTCGACTCTCTGGTGCTACCAACAGATATTGATGATACATATTCAGTTGGATAGGTTCCACCACCAACAGAGTCGTCTACAGCCTCATTATTTCCTAGGCCTAAGGCCACCATACCCTGTTTAGAAAATTGAGTCTGCTCCGCTGACTCTTCCTTATTACCATTTGTCGTTCCTTCCAATTGCTGACGACGGCTACGCTCAGCTTTTATTTCTGCCTCTATGTCTATATACAATTCACCAAGGACATTAGAATCATGTTCAGTTAACCAATTTTGCGCTTTTGCATTCGAGAGCTTACCGTCAGGCATTATGTGTAATATTAAGAGAAAGTCCTAAAAAGTTTGCGTAATTATTAGAATAAAGTAGAAAGCTAAGTTTACTAGCTATGTTCGTTGATGACCTTTTCTTGGAAAATATCTGATCATCCAGCCAATTAATAATTTAATCAGGGCCTAAATCCTGTTGCCCTTTGACTACTGTTCTGGAGACAGAGAAGCTTGTTTTGTTTTATTTGTGGTTTCAGATGGTGCCAAAGGAAACACGTTTCACAACTGCCCATAATGTCTGAATCAATAAAGACCAATACAACCCAGAGGCATATGCTCATGGTTGGTAGAAGACATGCTATTCTATCATAATGGGTTATATCAGCAAGGGTATAAGTATAATATCAATCGGGGCGTTTGCCCTCTATATGTTGCAACTAACAACAACAATGCTTCAGCTGTTCTACCCGACAATGCACATACCCGTGATCATGCCAAATAGCCATGCAAAGTCGCAGAGTCCTGAATCATCACATAAGTTGGCATGGAAGCCGAAACACGAATTCCAACTATCCTTATACCTTTCGACCATTCCCGAGATCACAGAGTTAAAGAAGAGAGAGCGGTTCTTTTACAAATCAAAGTTGTTGTGGCAAAGTGATTCGTATCTTATAAACACAAAGAGAGAAAACTACCCCAAAGTCGATGAGTCCATCAATGTCCCATTTGATGATATTTTCAGAACAACAAATGGATCTATTTTCTACATTCACGCATTTGTCCACGACCCCAAGAGGATGTACTGGAAGCCAATCCCGGAGAGTCAAGGACAAAAGATTGCTCTTTTGAATCTCAATGATCCAGACACTCTGTACACTGTTACGCCACTAATACGCCATATGCCACGCATTATTAATACTGAACATCACTTGTTGTCTGGAAAGAAAGCAGCCTCTGCCGAACGGGATGGTGAAAAATCAAATACAGATACAAAACAAGAACAGCAAAACCACGATGATGACAAAGCCGACGATATATGGGTGCCACACATAAAATCAAGAATAGCGCTTGAAATCATGCTTGAGGACCATCACTTCCCTGCATGGCAATGGCCAAACGATATTATCAAGCACATCCGTGTCATTAAACCACCAAAACAAAAGGCGAAGGATTCTGCTGTCCATGACTATCTTCCCCTATTCTGGGAAAATCCCCTGAGTATTAAGCGCGACGACTATGTTACTTTGACAAACAACACAATTGTCGACAACAACCATCCTTTGGCCGAGCAATTCACTCTTCGCCTGCAATTCAATTCGATAATGCTTGGATGGTTCCGTCTCTCCAGCCAGCTAGATAACACCTTGAAGCAATTCTCTTCGCCAAGGTCGGTGTTGAAATTTTCTGACAAAGAATTGGATCGTCTCCGCCATACATTCTTTGAGGTCAATCCTACACTGGTCACCATTACTATGCTTGCCTCATTATTCCACGTGCTATTTGAATTTCTGGCATACAAAGAGGACATCTCATTCTGGGCATCAGGGGGCAAAGGAGATAAAAATCAACAGGATGAGAAATCCCGAGATCCCTCCCTTGAAAATAAGCAACCTGGATTCGAGGGCATATCTAGAAGCATGGTGTGGATGGGCTTGGCTAGCGCCTGGTGCAGTGTGTTCTATGTCTGGGAGCAAAAGCAGGAAACCAGTGTCATTGTGCTATTTGGAGCAGTTGTTCGTGCATTTGTTGAAACTTGGAAGATAAAGAAACTTTTGACACATAAGAGTAAAGATATCACAAAAGAAAAGGAACAATCTGCTGAAACATCAATCAATGATCACGAACATAGTGAGCAGAGTTCTAATAGTGAATCACGCAGAATTGCTCAAGTCCAGCAGGAAGTCGACAAGCAGACAACCTGGTATATAACACACTATTGTATTCCAGGAATGATTGCCTACTCTGCATTTTCTCTGGTATACATGCAATACAAAAGCATGTTTTCTTGGCTTATCCATGTCCTGGTCGTTACAATCTATTCCCTTGAGTTTGTCCAAATGTGGCCACAGCTTATCATCAACCACAAGCTAAAAACTGTAGACACACTTCCACTTTCTGCCTTTTGCTATCGCTTCCTTACCACATTTATCGACGATCTATTTGCAATGGTAATCCCAATGCCTCTGCTAACCCGTTTAGGGACTTTTAGAGACGATATTGTATTTGTTGTGCTGTGCTGGCAATGGTGGACGTATCCAAAGAGACAAAAGGAAAAGCAAATACCAAATGACAAGAATGCTGATTCGGAAAGCAAGAAAGACAAATAGATTAAATGCTACACCAATTTTAACCCTTTTAATTTAACAAAAGGAGGCCATATTATGTTACAATTCAATATATTTAAATAAACACAATCTCTGCTATTTTTGGTAAAATATTAGTGATAATTTTTGAATGGTGCCTTTTGGTAGCCGATGATTATAGGGGCAATTATAGTCAAATGGGTGTTCGGTTTTACTAGTAAAAATTAACTCTTCAAAAGTTATCTCACATATTTCTAATAGTACTTTATAAAGGGTGGTTTATATAATGAGCAAACCATACTTGAAAACAGAATACCAGTATGACATTTGAAGTAAAGATATGAGTAAACGATATTGAGGTATCTCCTTCAAAGGTGTACCAGAATAATACCTTTGATAATAGCTAATAATCTGAGAGACTATAGGTAAAATGTATGGAGATACCTGTCAATTCCCTTTTGATGAACTTCCTACATAGCAAAACATGGAAAAAGAAAAAATGATGAGGGTGGGATTCGAACCCACGCCAACAGATGTTGACTAGGACCTGAACCTAGCGCCTTAGACCACTCGGCCACCTCACCTGCATTTATCGTTTGGCCAAATGGGTCATAATTTATGAAGGGTGACTTTTGGTGGCCGCTGATCATAGGGTGATAATCACCACTGATTAGCGGCCAT